TCTTTATCATTATTATTATCAGATATGTAATTATTTACTAAAATTAATTTAAATCTTGTCCGAGAAAAATATACCAGTTATTATATATCTATTTAATTGATATATTTGTCTATTTCATATTGATTTATATATGTATTCTTTCATTAATTCATTTCTTTATTTTTTGTGTGTGTTAAATTTGCCGCCATTTTTTTTTTATATATATATAAATTGGTATTTTATATTTGAACTGTACAGAACGGTTGAAATAATGCTAGGAAGCGTTAACATTATAAAACGTTAAAAGTATCATCCCCGTAGTGAAGGGATTAAGGAAAGCTGTCTCCCAGGCTTTGGTGTAATAATATAATTTATGGTCATCACTTAAAAATGGGACGCGAGGGAGAACATTTTGAAGTTTATTGTCAGTGGAACATTTATTTGTTTTGCATAAAGTACATTTTAAATTGGGATTCAAAACAGATATATACCGGTATATATTTAGCCTTTGGTTGATTGGTTGATTGACTGAATGATTGATTGGTTAGTTGATTGGGTAAAAATCGTCAAATAAATTCATGTTGAACTGGGTGATCAAATTTCTAACGACACTTCGCAGCATCTACTTGTGGGTAAAGATAGGTATTGATTGTAAATTATATCAGACTAAATATCTGAAAAATTACTGTAATATAAAGAAAAATCTCAAGTTAATATAATGTTAAAATCCCCCAATATCTTCTTTCGCTACGTGACCCCTCGAGTATAGATGCCAGGTAGTGTGTAGAGATTTTATTTTTTTGTAACTACATAAAATATAGACATACAAACAATGGTAAACAATATGTCTATTCAAATAAGGGGTGGATACATACAATGACAAACAATATCTAGTCCAAGAAGCCGTTGAAATACTGGCGCCAAAAGAGACCATTGAAAAAGAAGTAACCAGAAAAAAAAATATTTGTTTTGTTCGTAAATTGCTGGACCGTATATCACTGAACACTGTCCATTTTCCCCCCATTTAATATGATTTGTAGGACAGTGTTTTGTTAGTGCTTGAAAGAACTTGCCCCAGAGTTATTAACGTATAATGCTTGGCTTGGCTGGCTGCGTTTTGTAGGCGACTGAGATGGTTTGTGTGTGTGGTGTTCCCGCGTCCTGTTGCTAAAATCTTTGTACCAGTATTATTCTTCATAATTAAAACTGAATCATTGTATTTAACTAATTTAAGGTTAATTATGATGTCAACTTCAATATAGGGATTACTTGAGGATTAGCCACAGCTTATTTTACCCTGAGGGGTTAGGTTAGTTTTAGGTTGCTTAATCTTAAAGTGAAATAAGTTGAGGTGGGCTAAGCTTAAGGTGATCTTAAAATAACAGCAAAATTACTCTTGAGACTAACCAATTTTACTTAGTATCACCTTGTAGACAAAATTATGGTAGAATCTTTTGAAAAATATTCTCTACCAGAATTTGGTCTCCTAACTATACTATGTAAATTATATAGCCTAAGGTAGTGTTTCATTTTCAGTGATTTTGTTGCTAATTTTCGAACATTAATCTTATGTTTCAGCTCAAGTCAACCAGTTTTAGGGACATTTTTACATCTTCAAGTACGAGGATTATTGGCGTTTCATTCTATACTCAACTTTTTGGTTTCGTTAAGTGAGCCCAATAACCGTATCGCCTGACTGACTGCTCCATACTACCCGCCACATGTATTATATTTTTATCTCCCGCACTACTCCTTGTGTGCACTACCAGGCGCATGATCCGGCCCGCACACAGATATGGTAATTTATTTATTTTTTGTTTTTTGAGCAGTTAGTCATGACGCCATTTTCCTCTCTGGGGGTTGGCGACCACGGCCCACTATTACGGTACCCAAAACTTCTCCGCTGGATACATAAATTGGTATCACTCGCCTCCATAGTGACTGTTTTCCCCTGGTCCTCCTACCCTTCACTTTAACCCTTCGATAACTCTACCATTATCTCCTTATCCTTAATTATATGGCCAAAGTATCTCATTTTTCCTCCAGCGTAATTACTAATCCATTATTTTAATCAACTTGGTTTTGCTTTCATATACAGAATAATATCTCCGTCTTATCTAAACACTGAATAAAGTCTTTCCTATATATCTATCTATTTATCTGTCTGTCTGTCTTTACAATTCCGCCGTACATAATGCAAGCTTCCTAAACCTTCATCATTGTATCATCATTATTTCGCTTTTTGAGTTCACATTGCAAAGAACCTCACCACGTTGACGTCCCCACAGGGTGAAGTCTCTGTTTAAGGAAGGTTTTATGATAATGAAAGTCGAGTATCGGCAATTAAACTCCCCCACCCGAGGATGTATCATGGGGGAGGGTGGGTGACTTGCGTGCGTGGCCAGAGCTCGTTTGGTTGGGGGAGGGGCAAGGGGAGGAGGGGATAGTTGGGATGTTGGTGGGAGAGGGCGTGTTTGGTGTGGCGGTGTTGGTGGGGGAAGGGTGGTGTTTGGTGGGTGGGGAAGGGTGGTGTTTGGTGGGTGGGCGGTGTTGGTGGGAAGGGTGGTGTTTGGGGAGGGCGGTGTTGGTGGGGAAGGTGGTGTTTGGTGGTGGGTGGGGAAGGGTGGTGTTTGGTGGGTGGGGGCGGTGTTGGTGGGGGGTGGTGTTTGGTGGGTGGGGCGGTAGGGGAAGGGTGGTGTTTTAGGGGTTGGGAGGAAGGGGGTTGTGGAAAGGGAATGATTTTATGGGTGGGGGAAGGAAGGGGGTGTTGGTGGGGGAGGGGTACTGGAGCAGGCTAGCTATCGTGACGTCTTATTGTCATATTTTTGTTCATAAATCATGCAAGGTAAAGACTTTTAAAATATTGTTTATTTGTTGATTTTTTGTCCGTAAAACCGTACCACTAAGCTCACGAACGTTGCTACAGTGGAGGGTGCAGGGAATTTTTTTTGAGGGTGGGAAAAAATCGTAATACTGTATTTCCCTAAAATTTAAAAGGTTTCCGCTAGATTTTTCAGTTGGGAGAGGATAAAAATATTTCCCTAAATTAATCGGTTATTTCCCCTAGATTTTATTTCAAGAAGAGTTAAAAACGACATAAATATTTCCCCCAAAAATATCAGTAATTTTTCTTCGATTTTCTATTTCAGGGAGAGGGGCTGGAGGCAGAAATACATCCCCAAGAATATTAAGAAATATTCCTAGATTTCTCAGGGGAGGAGGTCAAAGACTTTTATGATAATTTCCCTGATATTAAAAAAAAAGAGAAAAATTCCCCAGATTTTCCCCCAAGAACCAAAGACAATAATATTCCCTCTAAAACAAACAATGATTTATCTTAAGATATATTAAAGAAATTGTCAGGGAGGGGGCAGTTGAAATTCCGGCCAAAACAAAATATTTCAGTATTATGTCGCCTTCACTTGCAGGGCCCAGCAGTAGCGGTGGGAAGTTACGTGTGTACAGGTTGTGTGTATAACATTACTGTGCCCGCTGTACCACAACTCTTAGTTTCTTACAAAATATCTACAAAGTTTTTCTCTCTCTCTCTCTCTCACTCTGTCTTTCTCTTTCTCTCTTCTTTATTTCTTTCTCTCTGGTGCCCCCATTCATCGTGTTGACTTAGTTTAATTTACCACTTTCAATGTACAGTAATTGCGTCTCTCTCTCTCTCTCTCTCTCTCTCTCTCTCTCTCTCTCTCTCTCTCTCTCTCACTAGATACGTTATTTGTTAGGTTAGCTTAAAGTAGCGGTGCGTCTGTCTGTAATCGTTAATGTATCAACACAGGAACCCAATAATTTGTTGTCTGCCACTTTGTCCTTAAAGGTGATAAGGTAGTCTGATAGGTGTTATTGTTGGTGGTGGAATAATCGGGAAATTCATTTTGTTCGGTGTTTCGAAGGTTCTTTAGTGTGAAGGATTATGGGTTCGAAGTTTCATTGGTTCGAAGGTTCGTTGGTTTGAAGGTTCATTGCTTCGAAAGTTCATTGGTTCGGAGGTTCATTGGTTCAAAGGTTGGATTTGAAACGTTAGATCTTTGGACCAGTAACCTTTCGAATCCATGAATTTTCGAACCCATGAACTTCCGAAGCAATGAACCTCCGAACCGATGAACTTTCAAATCAACGAATCATCAGAACACACAATTGTAACCAAATTATCAAATAATTAACCGACGTAATAAATATTGATTTATAGACCGTACCATTCCTGACATTAATTAATTAGTTAAAATTATAGATAGATAACGTTATTCTGACACTGTAATTACCACTTCAATAACGATGGAACTACCGGTGACCAAGTAACGTATGATTTGTCATATATTCCCTGTAGGGCAAAAATTAATTAGGGATATTTGGTGGGGAAAATTGTTATGGTTGGCAAGGCTTTGTTGTCCCGTCTCTCTGTCTGGTCTGGTGGTGGTGTGTCTGACTGGCTGGCTGGCTGGCTGGGAAACTGACCAGTAATCCGACGGACTGACTGGTCATTATACTGACAAATTGAGTAGCTAGTGAACTTGTCTGACTGATTGGTTCACACGGGAGACCGGCTTGTTACTCTGGTATGTTTGGTTCATTAATAATTATCCTGAACTGGTTTCACTGACTGGGGGAGGAAGTCACTGAGGCTTATGGCTGTCTCTTTTGACTGGATCGACTGTTGGTCTTTTTAACTAATTTTCAGACTGGGTTAGTTGATGACTTGTGACTGGTTGGTTGTATCAGTCGTTGGCCTTTTAGACTGGCTGGCCATATTAACAGTTGGCCTTTTAGACTGGCTGGTCATATCAACAGTTGACCTTTTAGATTGGCTGGCCATATCAACAATTGGCCTTTTAGACTGGCTGGTCACATCAACAGTTGGCCTTTTAGACTGGCTAGCCATATCAACAGTTGGCCTTTTAGATTGGCTGGCCATATCAACAGTTGGCCTTTTAGACTGGCTGGCCATATCAACAGTTGGCCTTTTAGACTGGCTGGCCATATCAACAGTTGGCCTTTTAGACTGGCTGGCCATATCAACAGTTGGGACTGGCCATATCAACAGTTGGCCTTTTAGACTGGCTGGCCATATTAACAGTTGGCCTTTTAGACTGGCTGGTCATATCAACAGTTGACCTTTTAGATTGGCTGGCCATATCAACAATTGGCCTTTTAGACTGGCTGGTCACATCAACAGTTGGCCTTTTAGACTGGCTAGCCATATCAACAGTTGGCCTTTTAGATTGGCTGGCCATATCAACAGTTGGCCTTTTAGACTGGCTGGTCATATCAACAGTTGGCCTTGTAGACTGGCTGGCCATATAAACAGTTGGCCTTTTAGATTGGCTGGCCATATCAACAGTTGGCCTTTTAGACTGGCTGGCCATATCAACAGTTGACCTTTTAGACTGGCTGGTCACATCAACAGTTGGCCTTTTGTGTCAGCATTTTCACAGATCTAGCGTTGGCCCTTGCAACAGAATAATAAACTAGTTTACTGGTTGTTTACTTGGATTGTTAAAGTGGATTATTGACTATAACTAATTGATAAGGGCGAATTACTCGTTATAACTGGTTAGTAGTGGGAGCAAGACCTTGAGAGAGGAGGTGGGCGGGAACCAGCACACGCATTGCGGCAGTCAACTGTGCTGTACCGACCGACTGACGACTGGGGATGTGTGTGAGACCTTGAACTGACTCGCTTCCTGTGTGTTCAGTAGCACAGCCTGGAATGTGTCGGTGGAGGGGAAATATGTGTTATTTTTATTGTTGATGACTAGTGTAATTACGAACCTAGAATAACCTGTATGCGCTTAACGAGCAATGGTGAGGCGCAGTAATACATAACATCAATAACATATAACCTCTTTTGTTTATTGATTTAACAATAATCCAACAAGATAATAGTACCGTTACATAAGGGATTCAATACCCCGAGGAATGGTACAGAATTTGAAGTTAGTTTACTCAAGGATAATGGTTATGTCGACTCACCATCTCTTCCTGGAACCAGCGAGGCTCACTCATCCAACATTGCGATATAGTAACATTACATTAGCCAGGGATTAAACTGGGAAGCGGGGAGAGCAAGAATTTAATTTGGGATCACTTGAAGATTAACACCCCCAAACTTATTCCACCTTACGATTAACCATGCGAACTTAATCTAACCTACCCCCCCCCCTCCCCACACAGGTAGCGTTAGGGCGTTTAGTTTAATCGTCAGGTGTTGTAGATCTCCAACCTTGACACTGAACAGGTATATGTTGAGCCTCGTCTTAAAACCTGCAGATATTTTACATTGTTGAGTGGAAATATGAAATGTTTTACTGTACTATATTTAGAATGATGTTTAGTTGTATAGTTATGAGGCCATTGTTTAAGTAATATAAAAGTTTACAGTATTTTAAGACAACATATCTCTGTAACTGATGCGTAATTTCATAATTTTGGTGCGGTGATTTGGATCCACAACGAAGGTGAATTTTTATGCACAGTCTTAACGATAACAAATCCTTTTTTTTTTATAATGGAATTTTTTTAGCAGTAGTGGAATGATAAGTATAAGTGCGACTAGAATTTCATTAGGTATTATGTATAACGTCTTGAATAGTGGTAAGTTACGAGGCTGTGGGAAAGTTAGCAGTTGGTCGCTATGGCTGTACAGTACTGGGCTTGGCTTTTTTGATGGTTGTGTAATTAAAACACTGACTCCAGGGAACAAAACCTCGGGGAACAAAGACTGGTAAAACAGTCGCCCTAAATAATGTACCGGCTTAAAAAAGAAAGAAAAAAAAATACTCTTTATAACCTAGATGAATTGAGGTCTAACCTAACAAAGCTACAATAGTTACACCAAGGCACAACCGTTGCTTTTTTTTTCCCCAAATTATTCATTTTAAGGCTGCTTTTATGCTTGTCAGTTTTCTCCGATGGTTATACAAATGTTGGAAAATTGTAAACCTAACCTCGCCTGAATCTAACCTAACCTAGCCGGAACCTAACCCAACCTAGCCTAACCTAACTTAACCTTTACCTTAATCTAACTTAATTGAGGCTCTTTAAAATATGTGTCTATATCTAATACTTTTTCCAAATCAATATTGTTACTTTTCTTCCCCGGACACCGACCCTACTACCGGCAGAGCTGTGTCAACAAAGTACACTGACCCTTCCTTCCTGTTGACATGAGATAAAGTTAGAGGTGTCATGTTTTCCCGGCATATAGTATAAGGTGTGGGACGGACGCACCTAGACGGAGGTAACAAAAATCAATGTGTGTGGGCGCCTGACCGTCTCTACGAAATGGCATAGTCTGGTCTGCTTGCCCAGCCCCGCACTGCAGACGAAATACAACTCTTTGGTCCTTGTGCTCACAATAGAATGACAATACGACTTTTTCGCCATAAATGCACGAGTTATTACCGTGTAGTTTGTGAATTTATGGTGTAATTGTGTAGGGTTTTTTTTTCATGGTGATTTCGTTAGGTAGTAGCATGTAATAACAGTCGTAAAAGACACCGGTAATTGACAAGATCACTATCACAGTTATTTACCATCATGGCGACTGCAGTATCAGGTATTTCTTTTAAAACAGGCTGAATATATTAGTAAAACCCATTTTATCTCTTTATTTTACCTAACTTAACTCAAACCTACACCGAAGTCGTTTTAATAAGTTACAACGGATGTGAAGAATTATGGTTGTGCTGGAAATAAAAACATACAGTACACAAAGGACTTAAGAGACCTAGGCAAACACTGGCAAACGTCAAGGGACTTTATAAACACCCTGTATAAGCAATCTAGGTAGTGAAGTAATGGCGATGTTCTCGGCAGAGTTTGACCTTTGAAGACTGGCTGAGGGAAGTTTGCACGTCGTCTGCTGGAGGTTTAATAGTGAAGGTAACAGGGAGCCAGGGTGAGCGTGTCATGGTCTGCCCTTGAATTAGAGATTAAAGGCGGCAAAATCTGCACCATTCCGGATGTTCCTTTGTTGAAAAGTTTATATACCGTGTGTAGTTTAAGGCTGTTATTGTTATTATTATTGTTGCTGTTGTTTAAATGTACCGGTATATTGTATACATGTATTCTCTCTCTCTCTCTCTGTGTTGCTGTATTACGTTTTGGGTCAGGAATCACTTACTGTTGTGATGTTTTGAGTAAATTGTTGATAAGATTGAATATGTGAGTCTGGTGTAGCGGTGTTTCGCTGTATTATGTGGGTGTGGTTTTGTCGAAAGAGGTGAGATGCTTTTAACAAGTAGTAATTGTTGTGGTTTTTCATGTGTGGTTTCAACTAAGTACACGTGTTGGTTTTTTTTTTCTTCACGTCAGTATAATTAGTTTATTCTAGCTGGAGTACAAAACCAGGTGGTGTGGTTTTGATAATGAGTGTATCAGGAGGTGGGTGAGGGTGTCGTCGCTTACTGCCTCCATGATAGGTGGTTGTCATGCCACACTCACCTCACCCACCACCATCAGCCACCACCAAGTACTCCACGCCTCGGGCCACTGCGCATGAGGGCGGTATGTCATGCATCGATACTTTAATTTATTTATTTTTTATGAAGGAGTCAAGATAGGGCGTAAATATCGATAAAATAACAAGTTTTTTTTTAATTTGCATAATGGTGGTGATATTAATATATGTGGTAGTTTGTTTTATAATTAGTCAAGAAAATATAGATTGTTTAGGTTCATATCCTTTCAAGGGACATATAACTTGTACGGATATTATAGAGGAAAATTAAAGTAGTTTGTTCTAGTCTTAGGTTCAGGGAAGGTGTTGAACATGGCCTCTCGTCTTGGTCGATGCAAATGTAGGGTTATTAAGAGAAAGTCATATGAAGATTAGACACCCTAGCTTATTTCACCTGGAGGTTAACCGACCCGACCCAACTTAACCTATCCAAATGAAACGTAACGTAACCTAACTTAATCTCCCCTTAGCTATCATTAGGGCGTTTAATCTATTGGTGATCAGGAAAAACTACTTTAAATCTTGCCGAACGAAAATCTCTCAATAATGTATAATATCAAACACAGCCAAGCCCAGTATAGCGGCGTTTGGCTGTCTGTCTGTCTCGCTGAATTATTGATCAAAGGTTTGTGTTGGTGTGTGATGGGAGTATTGCCCGGGCTGGTGGTTTGTGTATTATTGGTTGTTGTTTTATTCAGCCAATCTAACCTTACCTTACCTTACCTTACCTTACCTTACCTTACCTTACCTTACCTTACCTTACCTTACCTTACCTTACCTTACCTTACTTACTTCCTACCCTACTCCTACTCCTGCTCCCTACTCCTACTCCTATCCTTATTTCCATCTCTACCCTACTCCTAACCTAACTCTAACCTAACCTAACTTAACCTTAACTCCCCAACCAATTACTGGAGGATTTATCCCCTAAGAACGGGTAAGCACCCTAAGGCTGGCGGGGATGATGATAAAGGTTGTCTGCTTTGTTTACTGCGTTTACTGACGTGTTGTTGGTGACCGGGGTAGGAGGGGGTAGGAGGGTGGGGTGTAGAGAGAGGGAAGGAAAGAGTGTGTATGAAAGAATATGATTGAGGAAGGAATGGAGGAGGTGGAGGAAGGAGAGAGAGTATGAAGGATGAAGGAAGGAGTGAAGTGGTTGGATGGGTGGTGGTGTGGGGTAGGTGGTTGTGGTGGTGTGGGGTATGTGGGTGGGTGTGGGTGGTGGTGTGGGTATGTGGGTGGGTGTGGTGGGGTAGGTGGGGTGGGGTGTGGGGTAGGTGGGTGTGGGGTAGGTGGGTGGGTGTGTGGTGGGTAGGTGGGCTGTGGTGTGTGGGGTAGGTGGGTGGCTAGGTGGTGTGGGTGGTGGGTGTGGGTGGGTAGGTGGCTGTGGGCATGTGGGCTGGTGTGGTGGGTAGGTGGTTTGTGGTGGTGGGCAGGTGGTGTGGGGGTGGGTGTGGTGTGGGGTATGAATAAATAAATGGATGAATATATCGCTGAATAGAAGACTCAGTGAATAAATGCGACTGACTTAATAAATGAGATACTAAAATACACTAATTATAATACAAATAAATACGTGTGTTTCTTATTGTTTCATCTTATTCATATAATTTGAAGAAAAACCAAAAAAAAAATAATATACATTTATATAACTTGATTTTCTTTTTTAATTAATTTTGTGGTTGGATATTTTATCTTTTTTTTTATTCCATTCGATAATAAGTAATACATTTTTATCTCTGTTTGTGCATTTATCTAATTCTTTTTTGTGTTTGTGTTTCAGGTAAGTGTTTGTGTGGAGGTGTGAGGTGGAGCCACTGTGAGGCTGGAGATGGCTGGCAACACTGTCCCCGGTGCTGAGGTAAGGTAGGGATCTTCTTGGTGTGGCTGGTGGTAAGGCCGATC